TCAATGACTCTAGGCAAGAAGAGGTAAGAAATTAATTTTTTTCTATTGAAATGTAATAATTATCTGAGTAGAGAAGATCTATGATCTTGATCCTTATAGAAGGTTTAAAAGTAATACTGCATATCTCTGGTGTCTTTGGAGAGTAATCCAGAGGCCTAGCATGAATGTCCTATTATTACTTATCTTTACAACACTGGTATTGACTCCATGATTTACAGGAACTGAAGAATATGTAGTGAGACTTGGTGGGGATAAACGAATTAATACTATATACACATTTAAAATGAAATAATTCATACACATTTAAAATGAAATAATTCATACACATTTAAAATGAAATAATACATACACATTTAAAATGATCTTTTGTTTTTACTTTTCCTAAACAGGACAAAAATTTAAAATGTAGAAGAAAATAAAAAGTAGTATGGGTAGATTGAAAATTAGCTACTAAAAAAAATGTAATTTTAGTTTAAAATGCATGTACATTTGTTATATTAAAATAAAACAAAAACTTTGTATTCATTCAGTGTGATCCATCTGGATGTTTCATAGAGCTTTGTATCCAGTTAGGAATCATCATGGTTGGAAAACAGACATTTAACAATTCTAAAGAAGTTGTCCTTCCGTAAGTAAAACATGTATTTGAAAAGAAATTACTTTTCTTGGTTCAATTAATTTTGCAGTTGAAATTCTTCCTTTACACCCACTTTGTAACTCTTTCAACAAGTAATTTTTTATTCTCTTTTTTTCTTTGGATATATATATGTATTTTTGTAAATATTATAATGACTTACCTAGCTAAGGAAATATATAGGCCTACATATTATATATTGAATTGAAGGAAATTAAATTTCCAATAATAATTTCTTATAATATTTTTCCTATTTGAAAAAATCTATTTATTTACTAAGAGGGAGAAATTTTTGTAAAAAATAATACCATCACACATTAAGAGGAATTTTTTAAAAAGCCTTAAACTCTTGCTTTTTCACACATTTCATGTACTGTTTAAATATGTCTCCAATTTTCACCACAGAACACTGTTCAGAATTGAATTAGATAAAATATATGATTTGTATTTTATGTAACTAGTCACTCCATTTCAAAAATGTGTACCAAAATGAAATATACAACATATCGGTAGAAATGATAAAATAGTGTCTTTTTTCTTAGGAAATTGTTAAACTGGATTAAGTCCCGCAAAATCAATAAGGCTGAAGAGAAAAAGAATGAGAAAGTCTCCCAGTGTGAAAAAGATTATGCAATGGATAGCATGCCAGAACTTGGTTTGTTTGATGAATACTTGGAAATGGGTAAGATTATCAATGACATTATGATACAATATATATTTTGTTAAGATGTGGGATTGAACAAAAAAAGAAAAAACTCACAGATTCTCTAGTTGCCTGTCTCACTCTGATTGCAGACATCTCACCGAAGCACAATTCAATGAGTCAATAATCCTGTTAAAAGAAATACTTTTAGAATATTCCCGATTGAATTCACATATACTGATTCACTAACACAAAAAGAAAACAATCCTCAATTGTGAAATCAAAAATTATTGCCCCTTAACACTTTAAAACAATCTCTCATGTCATTATGCCCTCCAGCGTAAAAAAATTCACCTAGTTTACATGTGGAAAAAATTGTAACGTGGAACAAGTTTACAACAACACATGTATTATGCTGATGCATATTTGGTCTAAACTAAATAAAAATTTGAAACTCATATTGAAAAAAAAACATTTTATAATAAAAGTACTAAAAAAATTGTTGGAGGCTTTAAATTTCACAAATGCTAAAATATTGAGATTTTCAAAAGCTTTCAGTGATTCCATGTTGATGCATGCACATTCATTTCTAATCATTAGATGTTGATCAGGCCAATAGTATATCTCAAGCACATTAATAAAAACAAAATGTTTATTAAATATACTTTGCTGTATCTTAATGTTTTTTTCTCTAATTACAATTGTACAATTTCTTTGAATGTTTCACTTTTCAGTGATACAATACGGTTTTGTGACAATATTTGTAGCAGCTTTTCCTTTGGCTCCATTATTTGCTCTTCTTAACAACATCATTGAGATACGATTGGATGCTTACAAATTTGTGACTCAGTGGAGACGACCTCTGGGAATGAGAGCCCAGGATATTGGTAAGCATTTCTTTCAACTGTTAGTCTGCAGTTCTTTTTCTTTAGATTAGCATTTATCTTTTGAACAAAACTTTTAACCCTTTATGCTTTTCACTTTTAATAGGAATATGGTTTGGAATATTGCAAGGAATATCCAAGGTGGCTGTTATGTCAAATGTAGGTATAGAGGAAATAGGTGTTCTTACAAATCTCCTTTAATTGCTCATTCTGTTGTGTTCAATGGACTTTGTTATTAATGCAATCCTAATATCTTGTCTTATTTCAGGCAATTATAATTGCTTTCACCTCAGAATTTGTGCCTAAATTGGTGTACCAGTATAGCTATAGTAAAAATAGTGATATCAATGGCTATATTAACTTCAGCTTGTCAGTATTCAATGTCTCTCTATTTGAACCTAAAAGTATCCCTAAAGTAAAAAACATAGAATTATTTGGAAATGTTACCGAATGCAGGTTAGTGAATTTAACATTTTTCATTTCATTGCTTGTTGATGTTTTGTTCAAATCAAACTAATCTGATCCTCTAAGATGGATTCAGTTTTATTAGTAAACATTAGAATTCATATATTTTTTTACTTTAAAAATTTTTTAATTAATACACCATTTTGGAAATTTTGTATTCAAAAAGAATATATTATTTGCAATAGTACCAGGTAGTGAAAATTATGATAAGACTATCTTAAAAGACAACATTACTTATATTTGTGGACAAACTAGATTAGGAATGATGCAAAGGAGGAGAATTGGTTATTTTGGTTTTTATTACATGCTGAAAAGAAACAAGTTATGTCAGCAATGCATTAGCAACTAAATGTTGACTCACATCTCTTTTTTTTCACACCATCAGTGCATACCTCTTAAACATCTAAGATGTTTGACATAAAGCAGTTAAACAATTGGATTTTTAATGTTCTGTCTTATGTATTGAATAGTGTAAGGACTTTTTATTTGACTGAATAAACATCTTTTGTCCTCCTGGACATTATTCAAAGAATATAATATGCATAGCCCAGCAACAAACATAGAGAACACTTCAGAGCATCATCAAAATAAAACTGTTACTCTTTTTAGGTATCGAGATTTTAGAGCCCCAACAGAGCCTTATGATTACACTTTACAACACTGGCATATTCTAACAGCAAGATTAGCATTTGTACTTGTTTTTGTGGTAAGAAATGTGTTTTCTTAAGGAATGTACAGTTTTGCATTTGTACTACTCTGTGAGTTTAGTTAATTAAAAAATGTTTATTAAGTTTGAATATTGTTTGATAACATCTTTATTTGGTGGTTGCTAAAATTTTAAAAAATTTATATTTTTTCAGATATGCATTTGGCTTTTGTCATGGCTTATCAGCTACATCGTACCTGACATTCCAAGAGCTGTCAAACTACAGATTTTGAGAGAGAAATACCTAGCCAGAGAGTCAGCGTTGGAATCTGAACTCTTGAAAAATAAAAGCCATCAAAATGGAATGGAGGGCAAAAGTCACCCCTCTGATCCACATTCTACTGTTAACGGTGTTAGAGAAAGACATGTTGATAAAACATCTCCACTTTATTAAATGACTACTTATTGTATGGCAATGGGGGTAAACAATAGTCATTGAGCCTGTAACATATAACAATGTTAAAAATTAGAGCAAACTTTTCTGTTACAGCATCTTCAGCTTTAATTTGATGTCAACTCTTTTTATATTCATTACAATGTCATATACTTGTTGACATAGTTTTGTACAAGAAATGTGTTCTATTAGCTTTGTTGACTTTAAATATAACTTTTTTTTTTTAATATTTGTCTTTTTTTAATTTATCCCATTTGAAATAAATCTTTATTTTATTTATTTTTGATAAATGAAATACTGAATGGCATAAATCACTTAGCTATATATAAGGGGGCTCAAGTTCAATTTTCAATCAAACAGAGTTGTGCTTGTTGAGCTTCTAAAGGCAGCACCTTCTCCCTATTCCCCCCTTTTTTTCTCCATGGCCCAATGAGCCTGCTATAGCATGAAAGATGCCCTATACAAAATTTTTTTTTTTTTAAATTCTTATTTCTTTTTTTAGACTACAAAATATTTATGGTGTTTGTTAGAAGTCAATTTGTGATAGGTTTCAGTGACACCCTTCATGCAGATTCCAGAATAAAATTTCTAATTAAAAATTTCTATGTGATTCAACTTAAACCTGCAACTATTTTGCTTTATAATCGTTTTGTCAATTAATTGTATGATTGTACATAGTAAATACAGACAGCGCATTGTGTTGTGTTGCTTTTCTGTATGTCACTATCTAGATCTGAGACTGTATAATTTTTTTTTTATTCATCTAATCATTAATTTCTTTGTATTAAGATCATAAATTTCTTTTAAATTAGATCATACATTTCTTTTTATTAAGAAAAGGCTATTCTTGTAAGTTTTTTTTTATTATTTAGCATTTTTATCACTACTAGTAAAATATTTAATAATTTTAGCTTTATATAATGTACAATGGAATGCAACACTTTGTGTAAAAACATTGTAAATGAGCATTCTTGGCCTTTTAATACAGATTTACTTTTAGTCACTATTTGTTCTCAGCCTTATTGTTATACAGATTCAGTCATTAAATGTTCTCAGCCTTTTAGTTATACAGATTCAGTCTTAAACAGTCTCAAATGTTTACACATTTTATTGTTTAAAACCACAAAATGAATCATGACACATACATTGATCTATATAGAATGGAAAACCTTTTAAAACTGTTTTGATTGATTCAACATTTGAATGTAAAACAACTACATTTTATTGTACAGGTTTACACTTTAGTGATCTTGTTTTATTCAGAGTTTTGTTGATTATGAGTTACATCTTTCCCCCCCCCCCCCCCCCCTTCCACTTAACAGTGAACAAATCTACAGAAACTCAATGTGTTATTTTTTATTTTTTTTTAACATTGATATCTTTGGCCCTCCATTACAATCCAAATGGTAGGTATGTGTGTATATTGATCATTTAGAGTTTAGGTATTCATAAGCAGTTGAATGATGATTTGGAAATAGACATTGAGCAATGAATCATTCTTACCTGGCATCTTTAGGCCAAACATTTTTTTTTATATGGATGAATGTTTCTTGAAATTTCTACAAAAATTAGTCTTTTTTTTAACCAGATAAAAGTGCAAAATCAGATACAATTAATGAGATAATTAGATTTAACGTACATTTAAAAATATCTATGTTATAGAATTATTTTACAAAAACTTTCAAAGCATTATTAATAATTTAGAATAATGCTTTGAAAACTAGATCAAATATGGATAACTTGTAATAACTATAATTCATACTTCAGATGTAGTGGAGGGTCTTGTCTTTAATTTCCAGTGATTGTTTTAACCAATATGTCTCTCAAATGATTTTCAAAAAAGTTGAAGTGCAATTTCTATTGACAAAATTATGTAAGGATTTTGTTGACCAACTGCCTCGTGAATGAAAGAAATAATAATTTACACAGATTTATTTATGCACATTTCTCTGTGATATTTTAAAACACACAAGCCTATTTTTTTCTGTCTATTTATATTTAGGTTATGTCTATACCTTTTATATGGAAATATTCATTGACTAATTACTTATGTATACATTTGTACCAATGCTGTAATAACTAGCTGTACTAAAATATGTCCAGTTTTATTTTCACTTCATAACTCTTTCTCTCTTAACGATAATATCTTCGTTGATTTGATGCCATTCTTTCAGCCAAATCGATATTAGTCAATGCTTAAAGTTAAATATTTTGTTTTATTTCCTCCCAAAATGTTTTTATTTGCTTAAAATTTTATCTTGAATAGTTTCCCTTTGTAAGACATCCAGATTTTTTTCATTTTTATACATTTTAAGAAGTTGGGGGCTTTAAAAAAGTCTCTATTTTCTTTAGATTTTTTATTTCTTTGGGGGTAATGACATCGGACAATAAGCTCAAGCCAATAATTTTATATGTTTTAGATGCTTTATCAAAATGACTATATTAAATAATAATTTATTTTAACTTGAATCGTAAAAATATTACCAAAATCTAGTTCTAATGAATTTTGCCCACAGTCTGTAAGTTTTAATTTTTAAATTCCATAATCCAAAATTAAATAAAATATTGGTTTTATAAACATTTTGTTTATATAGAAAGGGCATGCATTCCCTTTTATCTTTCTACCAAATATAACATTGTCTGATAACAAATAAAAAAAGTTACTGTACTTTAATCTTAACAGCGTAGTTCAATACAAAAGTGCAAAATGGATTGTTCCATTGGAACGTGAAAATAATTCCAGAGAGAAATAGTTAAACCAAATTATTGTACTGAGTTCAAGCAGGTGTTCAGCTATTGACTTTTGTTGAATTCTTTGATGGTTTATATTATTTAAAAGCAAGAAAAAATATTAAAACTGCTTTGGATTGAAAGGTAAAGAACTTCTGAAAGGTAAAGAACTTCTTGAAGTAATGATACTTATGTGCCTGAGCGAGACCATTCTGTTCTTATGAAAGTATGGTACTAAATGTGACCCACTCTTAAGCATGGAAGCCAGCAAAGATTTATTCTAGTTAATATCTGAAAATTGTTATACAAAAAAAAAAAAAAAAAAAAAAGACCCCGATGTAGTTTTTATTAAATCATAACAAAAACTTAACTAAATCTATTAAAATTTCTTAGTAAAATTTTGATATCAATTTCATTGAAAAACATTTTAATTCAGATATTAGCCATAGCTGTGTACTTATTTGTTCCAATTTTTCTCAGAAAATACAGCCAAGACAACCTATTTTTTTTTTATTAACCATTCTATTTTTAGATTTGTTGTCACCAATTGAAACTAACTGAATTAGCTTTCAGACAATCGTTGAACTCAATTATCTATTTTCATGACTTTAGGAAAGAGCCAGCATGTTTCTTAATTGTAATCTTATTGGTAGGTTTGTAGATTATTTCCAAAATTAGGACAATAATGCCTAATAATGTACACAATTTTATCAAAATAAAATGGATAACTGTGGTATGCAACTTGACAAGTAATTTATAAAAACACCTACTGGTATAAATATTAAATGATACATATTTTCTTTTAAAGATTTATGAAAACATAAAATCCAACTTGAACTTGTTAAGAAAAATTAGGAGAAAATTTTGTTCCAATGTTCAATGAATGTTATTCTGCTTAACTCATATTTGCAATGCTACTGTCAAAAATTACAATCTAATATATGTTTACGTCTGTCTTTTTGAAACTGTTTCAAGGTGTTTAATGAAATATTAGTTTGCATAAAATTTAATAACAATTTGTCCATATTATTTTAAAGCCCTGAAATTGAATTATCTAAGTGATGTGGCGTTTAATGCCAAAAATGATCATGTTTTTTTTATCCCAGATGTTCAGCTGAACATTGCAATTAAGGTTTAAAAAAAAAAATGGATGCTTTTGTTTATTTTGTCTTCCAGCAACAAGAAAATCAAATGTATACTAAATGTATCGTAAAAGTACCGGTATACTAAATTGACCACATTTTTTCTTGTATTTATTCTGAATGGATCATGTATGTTCTATCTTTAAGTATGTTATTTTGTTTTAAGGATCAGAATTTAATAAGTTCAAAGAAATATTTTGTGTTTTCTAAATTGTGATCAATGTATTATTTATAATTCTATCATTTAAATTAGACCTTGTATGATGTGCAAGTAATTTTCAAGATAAATATTTCATTAACAGTTTATGACCAAGATGTATTTTTAATATTGTATCATTTTTGTAAACTGTTTTGTTCTTGTACAAAAAAAAACATTTTAATAAAATTATACAACTTTTAAGTAGTTTTGAAATTCCTACATTTAATTGATATTAAATATATAGCTCCATTCATTTTGTTCAAGAAAATTTAACATTACTCAGCAAGTCTACATTCACATACAGCAGGAAAGTAAAGGCAGTCTACATTCACATACAGCAGGAAAGTAAAAGAATGCAGTCTACATTCACATACAGCAGGAAAGTAAAGGCAGTCTACATTCACATCTCTAAAATGATGTATACAGCAGGAAAGTAAAAGTATGCTGGCTAATGATCACAAAGTAGGCTACTGTAGCAGAGCTGATATATCTTAACTAAATAATGTATTGAAAGAGTAAAACATGTATTATCCAAGTATAATCTGTGCAATTATGTTTTTTAAACATCATACAGATTGTTTTACTGAGTCTGAAACACCTTTGATACTATTATGATCACATTTTCAAATATATAGAGAGATATTTTGTTGATTATAAAATTGAGTTGACTCAGACATGAATAAAAGAAAAAGTGTAAAACAAGTAATTCTCAAGTATACTCTGAAAATTACATTTTTGGTTTGCACATCATCTTAAAATTGGCTACTTAGCTTCTATTCTGAATCACATTTGAAATAAGGACATTTTGTTGACTTCAGAAATGCAGTTGACTTAAATATAAATAAATGGAGAGAAAAACAATTAAACTGTATTTAAAACTTCAGCTAATGTTTATTTCTTAGACATGAAGGCACACTTCAAATCCAGTTCAATCATCTCTTCTATAAAGAGCAATATAACATTCAGTTTCATCAGAACGTAATATATCAAATCAGCATTCATTCATTACCTCTCATAAACATAAAACTGCTAGCCATAATGTATAAATGTAGTCCAGATTTATTTTTTTCATGCAATAACCATGTTTGATTTTTTAAAAATCATCATTAACACAGGTCAGATATTTTATTCAGTGAGAGAAAAAACACAGGACAGCAAAACAAAAACAAAAAAATTTAATGACAAAATGTTCCCATAAACTGTACTAATATTTCTAACATTAGAGTAACATGTCACTGCATAAAAAAAAAAAAATAAAATGCACATTTCAGTAGAAATATATTTGTTTCATTGATACTAAAAGAAAAACATTTTCAAACAAACACATTAACATAAATAAACACTAATTAAGACATCCTACTAGATTCTCTTTGTAGCCTTTGACTATAGACTCGGGATACTAAATTCCAGGTGTCCATGTATCGGTCCATGCACATAGCAATACATTTCTAAACAGAAAACACAAGGTTACTCAAATTAGTATTTTTGACTAATTTTTTAAAAAGCACTTGATGTAATTGAGTAATTTCATATACAGGACTAAAGAAATAATTATTATTACCTGTTCAGAACTGTCTAATGTTGTTCCAGGTTTAGGAATGCACTTTTTATAACATTTTTCAGACATTTTCTGAAGCAAAAGGAATTTAAAAAAACATCATAATTCTTATCAGTCGCAAAAAAAAAATGTATTTTTTAATGATAGTAATCTTTTTTAAAAAATTCAATCTGAGCAAAATAGGATCTTTTTTCTCCACAAATATCAAATATAAATTTGGAGGCATGAAGCAATCAGTTCCATATTCATACTAAGTAAATCCAATAAAGTGTTCATCATGGAACATCGAGCCTTATTAAAAACATTCCACTCTTCAATCTTTTCATTTCTTTTCTAGTCTGATATTATAAATAGAGAGAGATCTATATATTAAAATCCAGATTAGATCTAGATTTATAGTCATTTTCATCTAATGAACAACCCCTGTTTTCTTATATTAGCGAACACCCCACTGTATTTGTTAAAATGAGCCTTTATTTTAATAGCTTTGGCAGAACAAGTGTATTATTTTTGTGGCTGCTCAATTTTTTTAAATAGTTCAGACAAAATTTAGTTTTGTTTGCTCTGAAAAACTTGTGATCAAAGTGAATTGGTAGGACAATATCACCCATTTTTTTCCCGTAGACCAGGTTTTTAAAGATAAATTTTTAGACCATTAAGGTATCAGCTTTAAACAAAACCTATCTAACTATAACATTCTTAAAAATAAAATAAATTTGTTCGTTACAAAGTGGGTAACAGTGTTCGTTAATGTCAAGCGCTGAACCTCACTGACCTGACCCTCTTTGACATCAAATATATTTTATAAAATTGTAACTAAGCATAGTGAAAACAAAACCATACACCAATTATAAAAATATATATATTTTTATTGACAAATGGTAGACTTGTTTATACATTATAGATCTAGAGGTTTGCAGATTTTTTTTCTAGGAATAACCATTATAGCAATCAAGGAGCTATAAAAATTCAAACGAAAACATTGTGGCGGCAGGGCTTAACCTGTTCAATATAGATAGATCTAGATTAGAACTCAAAGATAAAATGAAAAACCATCAGTTTCCCTTTAACTTGGGGGATTTGTAAATATTGTATCATAGTATATATCTATATCAAACATGTTATTGGCTTAGCCATAGTTTAGGGATGTGAAATAAAAAAGCTCAAGACCCGATAATTTGTTTTTATTTCCTTTAATATTTACATTATAAACAAGTAAAGTTCATAAATATAAATGAAATCAGCTTTGTGAGCTAGAAATTTACTACTAATACTAGATCTACTATTAAATTTCTTATTTAATAAGTAGATCTATCGTCTATGAAACTCAATTCCAGCTTTTTAACTTTTGAGCTGGAGGTGTGTCTCGCCGGCTTAGCCAGCGACAAGCTCTCCGCTCTCTTGTTCCATGTCAACCGATGTTTGGTCAAAACTTCACTTGTAAAAAAAAATCATAACTTTCTAACTGTTAAACATACAGTCATAATTTATACACCATTGGAAAGTTCTGTTTTTTAAAGTTCATGATGTACTAAAGAAAAATTGTTTTTTCAAAGATAATTTTTTTTTCGCCTCCCTATTTAATCCATTAATCTTCAGACTCCAAGACAAGCCTTAAATATTATTATAGATTATAGATCGAAATAGATCTAGATTATTCTAGATCTAGATTCTAGATCATCAGTAGATGTATTATAATTTATTGTTTCATATTTCTCTTCATCAAAGTTCATCTCACCTGCAAAAGTTCCTGTGCATTAGCAAGTGCGATCTGCTGTTTAACTTGTGACATCAACTGTTCCCGTGTAGCTGAATCCATTTTACCACCGGCAGGCAATGATGAAAAATCCATCCTTTTATTTATTTTATTTAGAATCTATAATCAAATATTAAATTAGACCTAGAATCTAATATATTTTTTAAATGTGTTTGCTTATTTGTAGACTAGATTTAGATCTAGATTATACTTTCACAAAAAACTAAACTAAAAAATTTATCTAATCTAGTCTAATGTCTAGATTAGTAGTTTAGAATTGAGTAGCTAGTCTGTAATGTAGTGTTATTTATATTTTACTAGCAAGGTCACGCACGGTATCCGGTGAAAATTTAAAAACCTGGAACCTTAACTTATATCTCTAGCAGTGATTCCCAAAGTGGTCTTTATAGATCTAAGACACACACCCCCCCTCCTTGTGTGGTCTTTGAAGACTTCTAAGGAGTCTATAATACTATAATACGAGAAAGGAAAAAAAATGAATTAGGTCACTATGAGATTTAAACGAAACTTTTAATGGCATTGACTCATACATATAGATCTATGATTCTCACCATATTCATTAATCCTTTACTTTGAACCCTGTTGTTTGAATTGATTTTGTTCATTTTTAGCGGCCTCCGAAAGGGGAAAAGACGTTCTTAGTTTTGTGTGGAATGACTGTCCCGTTTAGATCTCGTAAAGTAAAAAAAATAGTGAAATTCCGACATCATATTTTAGACCATTTAAAGTTCTGATGCAACGACTACTTTTTTCTTCACTAAAAGCGAAAAATCTAATTTTAATCACTTTTAGCATAAATATTCACCACTTTTACAACTATTCACTATTAATAGTAACAAAGATGAGAGGCTTTTTAGTAGGGGAGATGGCCATTTACCATATTTTTTAACACACTTTTGCAAATGGTTTTAGATTTTTTATCAAAATTTTTTTTTTTTTACATTTGTATTGCTAAGTTAAATAAGTTCTGTCATAGCTAGTAGGCCTACTAACTACTCTATTTACACACACAAAGTTTAATTTTTTACAAGAGAAAAAAACTATATAGTATGCATATAAGTTGGACATAATTTGAAACAACAATTAATAAGTAGTTTTCATATTACCGCGTGAACTACAGCCCTACATAGAAGCTATAACATACCCACCTTTTTTTACGGAAATATTTTTTTTCTTGAGAATGTGAATAAGAGATTACTCTTTACAAAACAATTAGATCAATTAGATATTCATTATAAGACATCAGTTAGGCCAAGTACACATCTAACTTTGCATTCACTTTCACCTATCCTTTGGTTTGCTGGGACACCACATAAGATCTGTCAATCTCCTTTCTCCATTCTTCTCTGTCATTTGTCTTTGCTGATAGAATTTCATTCTGATGTTCTTTCTGAAAATATTGAAACCTGCTTTTTTAAATGCCTGGGTGGACCACTTCGGGGGCTGATTTTGAGTTTGTGTTTACACACAAACTGTCTTTGTAACCTTGTTAAATGTTTACATATTCTGAAAATATTTTGTGTCTACATGAAGCTAATATCAACCATGTCCGAATTAAAGAAGAAATTTAGACTACACAATAGTGTGTTGATTATTTTAGATTTTGACTTATCATTCCTTCATTCATTATCTCTACTACTTATAGCAAAATCCGGAATACCGCACATATTTGCGAGAAAAGGAAAAGATTCTGCCAGGGAGATCAGCTCTTCTGGCTTCAAAAAGATTGTACAAGTTAAGGGCCTCGAATCACCATCATCATCTTTCCTTTGCGTTCATCGTGGAACATATAGGGTCTCATTAAAAACATGCCACTCTACACGGTATCTTGCTAGTTGTTTTTTTTTCTTCCCAGCTATTTCCTGTCCCTGCACAGCTTCATAAGTCTCCTTCGTGAAGCTCTACTCTCGCATCTGACTATGTTTAGTGTTTTTTAATTAGCCTATCGCACAACCCCTATGTCCCGGGCAGTGGCGTAGCTAGAGTATATGATGCCTGGTGCGGTACCTCATCTTGATGCTCCCCCCCCCCCCCAAAAAAAAAACT